CAGTTTCCTTTTTGCATTCTTCGGGCCCCTTGTCGCTTGTTGGGCCTCTTAGGAGCCTCTTGGGGCGTCCAGGAGGCCTCTTGGAGCGGAAGGCTCGGATTTTCGGTTCTTGGTCTCCATCTTGGGCCTCTCTTGGGGCCCTCTTGGGGTCCTTTTGGACCGTCTTGGGCGCCTCTTGGGCTGTCGTGGGGCTCTCTTGGACGGTCTTGGGGCTCTCTTGGAGGCCTCTGGGGCCGTCTTGGGGTGGTCTTGGAAGCTTCTTGGGCCGTCTTGGAGCGTCGGAGAGGCGAAAAGGCGAGGAAGCCAAAAACCTTGAAAAACCAAATGGAAATCAATGGTTTGGGCGCTCTGAGGCTTCGTGGACGTTCATTGGGATCTCGTTGGATGCCTCTCGAGGGCTTCTTGGAGACTATCGGGAGTCGTTGTCGAGCCTTTTGGGGTCTCTTTCGGGCCCCTTGTCGCCTTTGGGGGCCTCTTGGGGGCTTCTTGGAGCCTCCAGGAGGCCTCTTGGAGCGGAAGGCTCGGATTCTCGGCTCGTGGTCTCCATGTTGGGCCCTTCTTGGGGCCCTCTTGGGGTCCTCTTGGACCGTCTTGGGCGCCTCTTGGGCTGTCGTGGGACCCTCTTGGGCGGTCTTGGGGCTCTCTTGGAGGCCTCTTGGGCCGTCTTGGGGTGGTCTTGGAGGCTTCTTGGGCCGTCTTGGAGCGTCGGAAAGGCGAAAAGGCGAGGAAGCCAACATGATGGACCCACGAACCCGGAAAGGGATATAGACATGTGGAGCATGGACACGTTTTCATGATACCCAACTGGGCAACACCTCACGAAACATCCCACGAGACACCTCACGAAACAGCCCACGAGACACCTCACGAAACATTCCACGAGACACCTCACGAAACATTTCACGAGACACCCCGCGAAACATTCCACGAGACACCCCACGAAACATTCCACGACGACAGGCAACCACTCAACCAAGGCGGTGTGGTCGTGCTGGGGAGTGGTCGTGCTGGTCGTGCTGTGGTCGTGCTGGGGGGTGGTCGTGCTGGGGGTGGTCGTGCTGGGGGGTGGTCGTGCTGGGGGGTGGTCGTGCTGGGGCGTGGTCGTGCTGGGGCGTGGTCGTGCTGGGGCGTGGTCGTGCTGGGGCGTGGTCGTGCTGGGGTGTGGTCGTGCTGTGGTAAGGTCGTGCTGGGGTGCGGTCGTGCTGGGGTGTGGTCTTGCTGGGGTGGGGTCGTGCTGGGGTGTGATCGTGCTGGGGTGGGGTCGTGCTGGGGTGTGGTCGTGCTGGGGTGTGGTCGTGCTAGGGTGGGGTCGTGCTGGGGTGGGGTCGTGCTGGGGAGTGGTCGTGCTGGGGTGTGGTCGTGCTGGGGTGTGGTCATGCTGGGGCGTGGTCGTGCTGGGGTGGGGTCGTGCTGGGGTGGGGTCGTGCTGGGGTGGGTTCGTGCTGGGGTGCTCCGCACCCTGTGATTTATCGATCGGGTCGTGCTGGGGTGTGGTCGTGCTGGGGTGTGGTGCTGGTCGTGCTGGGGTGTGGTCGTGCTGGGGTGTGGTCGTGCTGGGGTGTGGTCGTGCTGGGGTGTGGTCGTGCTGGGGTGTGGTCGTGCTGCTGGTCGTGCGTGGTCGTGCTGGTCGGCGTGGTCGTGCTGGGCGTGGTCGTGCTCGTGCTGTGGTGAGGTCGTGCTGGGGTGTGGTCGTGCTGGGGTGTGGTCTTGCTGGGGTAGGGTCGTGCTGGGGTCGGGTCGTGCTGGGGTGTGGTCGTGCTGGGGTATGGTCGTGCTGGGGTGGGGTCGTGCTGGGGTGGGGTCGTGCTGGGGTCTGGTCGTGCTGGGGTGTGGTCGTGCTGGGGTATGGTCGTGCTAGGGTGGGGTCGTGCATTTCGCTCGAGACATCCTGCCAAAATTCCAGGAAATCGTACAAAAACAAACAAATTAGTCGAAACATCATCGAAATTCCTTCGCGCGGGGCGCTTTTCCGCGTCGCGGTCGGCTCTGCAAAACAAGCGTTTCGCTCGAGACATCCTCGGCAAACTCTGCGGAGCAAGCGTTTCGCTCGAGACATCCTCAACACACGAAAAAGTGGCCCGCACCCTGTGATTTATCGATCGGGATTTCAAAAACAAGCGTTTCGCTCGAGACATCCTCAAATTTTAATTCGCCGGCCTCCTTCGACCTCGTTATTTATCAGGGAAAAAATTCGCCGGCCTCCCTCAAGTTGGCACCGGGGGACAGGTTTACCTACTAAAAGAGAACCCTGGGCTCAGGCCCTTTCCGGGAAAAACCTTGAAAAACCCAATGGAAATCAATGATTTTGGCCTCTTAGGGCTCTCTTGGAAAGGGTCGGGGCTCTCTTGGGACGTCTTGGAAGCTCCGTGGGCCGTCTTGAGGCCGTGTTGGGCGTCTTGGGCCGATCGTTCGGTGATTCGGAACCCTCTTGGACCGTCTTGGAAGCCTGTTGGGGCCCTCTTGGCGCGCTCCGGGGAGCGTGGAAGGCCGCACCCAGGAGGAAAACCATCTCTGACCTGAGTTTGCCGGGAGTGTCCCGGGACCTTGCCGGGGTATTTTCCGGCCGGGGACCCCCAGGGGCCGATCCGCGCGCGCGAAGTATAAAGTTATTGCTAACCAGTTACCGGAGATTTTAGCACGCCTCTGGCCCGTTGGGCTGGCGAATTGCACAATCATGCGCTCGCGCAGGACTTCTTCACAATGTTTGCAGGAATCGCGTCTCGCGTGGGACTTCCTCGCAATTTATTCACACGCCGCGCCCTCGACACTCATGAATCACGCTCTTGATCTGGCCTTTTCAACGGTTTACTTGGGAATAGCGCTATCGCTTGACATTCCTTCGCGAGTCATGCAGGACTCACGCTTCGGCAACTCGCCTGCTCGACCTGGTCGCCTGGGCCAACCTTCTCGACCCGCCCGTTAGGGTCTACCCTCTACCCGCCCGATCTGCCCGTCTGGATCTGCCATGTGTTTTCTGCTCCTATCCCCCCTCCTGCTAGTCTCTCTTGTGTTCCATCCTTCTCCCTCCCCCTTGTCTCTTCCTCCCATCCGTCTTCTCTTCCCCTGTTTTAGGGGCTGCGCCAAATACACATGGCAGGGAACATAGAACTACTACCAAGGGGGTACGATCGAAGACGAAATGGGCGGGTATCCATGGTTTGGAATATACGTATTGAGTGGCGCGCGAGCGGATAAGAGCGAACAGTTTTTGAATGCCGCCCGCGACCCACCCCTCCACTCACCCGCGACTCACCCTGCGCCCGCCCCCTCACTCTTGGCCGCAATTGCAGGGTGCTACGTACCCCCACCGACGTGCGGATGGCACGGTGGCGGAACCCTAATCGTTGAAGAATCAGAGTTGTCCATCCCCCCTCGCAGCGGGGTTCAAGTTGTTGCCCCTCGACGCTCGCGCCCTGTGCCTTGGCGAGCTCTCGTCCTCGAGCTTTGAACTGAGTTTCTCGGCATCGCTCGGACATGTGCATGTTTAGCGCGGCGAGGATAATCGAGGAGCATCCTGGATCATCGAACAAAACCAAACAGACTCGAAACCTGCACGGGGAATGGACGTCCGAGCGAAGGCAGGGTTTTGTCGGGCCCCATCACGAACAGCGGATCCCACGCGGGAGCTGGAGCTGGCTGAGGGTCTGAGGTGGCCCCGGACTGGTTCCGGCCAGCGGTCACGTTCGAGGTTCTGGGTTCGGGATTTTTGTTTGCGTGTTTCAGCCTCTGGGGGCCGTTTTCGAGCCCCAGGACCGTCAAAAACAGATTTGGGCTGACAAAAAAAAACAGATGGACCCCGGAAGGGATCCAGGGACCGATTGTGAGCGGATTTGGCTTCATCTCCACCTCCTGACCGATTGTCATGGGTCTCAACCAGTTCAGACCCTCCGGCCGCCTCTAACCAGCGGCTCCCACGCGCGAGGTTTTCATAGCCCCGCCTTGGGACTTACCGCTGGTCCCTCAAATGGTTGAATGTTTATACGGATCTGCACCTCATTCCCTCCAGTTCTTGGTTGCTTAGAGGGCTCCGAACCTTCGACCACGCAATTCATGTATGCTTCGAGGGTGCGACTGTCGTCGATTTCTGGGAATGCGCGAAGTACGGCAGTTGCTTCGTCGTCGTCAGCTCCCTCTTGCGGTTCACGCTCAGGTGATAGATTGCCGCCGAAGTCGACGCGCCCAGCCAAGTGGTGCACAGAACAATACGCAGATCGGAAGTAGGGTGGAGTTCGGGGCTCGATGCAAAGAAATAAGACATTTGAGTCTGAAGCGATTGAGCTGTAAGGCATCGTTGTGGAAGTAGCTGTTCTCGCATCCCGTCAATGTTCGACTGGCATTTGTTGCAACGCCTTGGCGGTGGAAAGCAAAATGCGTACGGCATTTCCGCTGATGTTTTACATGTCCGTTGGAGGCCGAATCAGCTGTATCATATAGTCCCAGGAATCCCAAATGCGTCTTCTCTGTGCCCCCCTCGTTCTCTCGTGCCACCTTCAGAGACGGAGGGCGATGTGGCAACATGATTGAGGGCTCAGTGATTTCGACATGACTCACACGCGCGGCACCGTGTGAATGATGAGGCGCAGTGTCGGCACAATGTGCGCTGATGCTCCGGGGGCAGTCCTCATCTTAGAGGAGGAAAAAGGTACCCATCCGGCTACCCTTCCCTCGTTTTCCCTTTTCTTGGGCATCCTGGGAGGGCCTCGTCGCCACCGCCGGATTCGCCTCGAAGCCCTCGTCAGAACGCACCCCGGCAGAGGTTCGGAGAGCAGCGGTATCGATTCCTTCTGATTCTCCCTTGTTCAGGAGGGAAAGAAACACACAGACACAATTAATCGGCGATTCCCAGAAAATATTGGAAAATATGGGAAGTGGGGGGGAAGACAAAAACCCAGAAAATATACGAAAATATGGGGAATCCTTTTATTTGTGTGTATTTATTTGTGTGTCCTGGGGCCCCTTCACTTGTATCTTCGTGCGACGGCCACCCACCATTCCACCAGGCCGCGTCGCAGCCGCAGTCAGCGTGGCAGCCGATGCAGCCGTCCCAGAGGAAGGGGCAGCGGGGGGGGGCCTGAGGCTGGGGCCGGGGGGCAGACACGAGAACCGCCATTGTGATCATTATTGCTGTGGAAGGCTCTTCCTGGTCTGGTGGGTGCGCTCTCCGATTCCAGCTGCCAGCAGGGGACCACATGGGGCATAGCACGTTTGCTTGCTGTGCTCAGTTAGCTCGTGCAGGCGATTGCTTGATCCAGACATCTGTGGCTTCGCGTGCGAACGCGACGAGAACAATGTCAGGGAACGACAATGGAACGACAGTGCCATGCCACCTCACATGCCTACGAGCCGTAGAATTGCCCTCCCTTAGAAAGCACCCTCTGCCAGCGCAGTGTTTGCATCCACGGTGCGCACCGTATGTGCGGACGGATGCGACCTCTGCCGCCGGCCCACAGCAGAAGCCAGCCTGGAATTGTCTTGGGACAGCCTTGGGGCTTTGTTTGGCCATCTGGGTTCGATCTCGTCTTTATCACAAGAAATTTCGCCAGAAAGCGAGTGAGGGTTCCACCCTTGCGCCGCGGTTTGATATTCCCGCCTCCCCCCCAAGGCATTCAAAGGATTGTTGCAGGAAGCCTACGGCTTTTTTGGGAAGCATAATGATGTGTTATGGAATTCCTTTGAACCAGGGGCTATTATCTAGAAGCTTTCAGTGATGTCTTGCAGAAGTCCTTCGGGTCCAGTAAGAGATGGTCCGGGTTGTTGCAGGATGTGCGGAATTGGAGTATTATCAGTCTCAGCCTAAACACATTACATATATATATGGGTTAACGTTTCGAAATTCAGATATCACCCTTGGACTTGTGAGACGGAGTGTTTTTCGGCCGCGTAGTGTCTTACACGATGACCAGGCGTAATGCTGTCATGACTGCACATGTATATATATATATATACATACATGCAAGTGTCGATGCATTTGGATATACATACACATATATGTGTATATAAATATATGTGTGTGCACCCGTATATATGAATATAGGTAGGTAGATCGTTAGATCGGTAGGTGTATATATAGATGGTTACGTATGCATGTATGCACGTATCCATGTATGTACGTATGCATGTATGTTTGTATGCATGTATGTATGTATGTCGGTGTGCACGTTTGTATGCATGTAGTCATGCAACATTGTATGTATGGATGTGTGTATGTATGTCTGTATGTATGCATGTCTGTCTGCATGCATGCATGTGTGCATGTAAGTAAGTATGTTCGTATGTATGTACGTGTACGTGAAACTATGTATGTGTGCATGTGTGGCTTCACTCATGAATGTATGCATGTAAGTATATGTGTAGGTAGGTAGTTATGTAGCTAGGTCGGTAAATATGTTTTATGTGCACCGGTATATGTGCATGTATATATATAACGAAAATACGTCCGCAGGCCGAAATATTTCCTTCTTGAGCCCAACATGTCGGAAGCGACGCGTCGTTCAGGTGAGAACAACCACATGGAATGGGCCGCCTCCTCCCTCTTCCTCCTTCCTCCTTCGTCCGTCCGCCTCCCTCCTCGCTCTTTCCTCCTCCCTCATCCTCCTTCTCCTTTTCCTTCCTCCTCCCCCCGTCTCTTCCCTGATTATTCCTCCTCTCTCCCCCCCTGCGTCCACTCTGTTCTCCTCCCACCTCCTCTTACCTCTTCCCTCGTCCTTCCCCTCTTCATCCTGGGAAGACCCCCCCTTCCCCCGTAGAATCTTAGCATTGGTCTGCAGATCCACAGTTCCGTGGATAGCATGATGCTTCAGTTGCGGTGCTCCGCGGATCCAATTTCCCCTGGGTCTCGGATGTTAACTATTATCATATATCTACTCCCGGGAAATGCATGAATCCATCGTTTTTTCACACACCGGAAATTGGACTCGCGCAACACAGAAATAGGATCCACGAACTTTTCCCGCACCCGAAAAGGGGATCCAATTGGATCCACTGATGTTGTCGTATTTTTAGTCCAAGAGGAAAAAACTTTCGGCTTGGGGATGCAGGATTCAGCACCCCTCTCGCATTTCATGCAGGGGTGTTGGCGGGGGAGGCGCAGTTCGAAATCCCACGCAGGGGTGTTGGCGGGGGAGACGCAGCTCGACATCCCACTAAGGATTGAACACCCCTCTCGCACTTCCACGCAGGGTCGTTGGCGGGGGAGACGCAGTCCGAAATCCCACTGAAAGGTTGATCACCCATCTCGCACTTCCACGCAGGGGTGTTGGCGGGGGAGACGCAGTTGGAAATCCCACTTCCGCAGGCCGAAAGATTCTCTCTTCTTGAGCCCAACATGTCGGAAGCGACGCGTCGCCCAGGTGAGAACAACCACATGTTATGGGAGAAGTGAAGGGAGGTGGCCGGGCCCGCTGTGGCGCTCGAGCTTCCGACTTGGACACTTTGCTTGTGTGTCCTCGCCCTCCCTCATCCCTTCCTCTCCTCCTCCTCCCACTTCCCCCCTCCTCTTCCCGCCTCCTCCGTCTTCCTCCTTCCTCCTTCGTCCGTCCGCCTCCCTCCTCGCTCCTTCCTCCTCCCTCATCCTCCTTCTCCTTTTCCTTCCTCCTCCCCCCGTCTCTTCCCTGATTATTTCTCCTCTCTCCCCCCCTGCGTCCCCTCTGTTCTCCTCCCACCTCCTCTTACCTCTTCCCTCGTCCTTCCGCTCTTCATCCTGGGAAGACCCCCCCTCCCCCTAGAATCATAGCGTTGGTCTGCAGATCCACAGGTCCGTGGATAGCATGATGCTTCACTTGCGGTGCTCCGCGGATCCAATATCCCCTTGGCCTCGGATGTTAAATATGGTAAGTAATAAATATATCCTTGAAATTCTCATGGGTTTTATCTCGTCCCCCCTCCGTCCTCGAAACGATCTCCTCTAAACCGCCTCTCCGTAGCCGCCTCGGCTTAAGGGTGCGGGGGTCCCCAGAATGACCCCCTCCGAGGAGCCCGCGCCCGACTGAGCTCCCCCCTCGGCGCCTGGGGGAGCTCGCCAGCCCGCGCCGACGCGGCGGCGGCACGGCCGCGGCGATGTTCGGCGCCGCGGGGGCTGGCGCGGGCGCCCCGCCTGGCCCGCCTGGATTGGGCCCTGGCGGGGGGCTCCTCGGCGTTGGCGGCGGCGGAACGCTGGGCGGCTTTCTGGGGCTGCCGCCTGGCGTCGGCGCCCTGCTCCCGCCGCCGCCTGCCGGAGTGGCCGCTGGAGCTGCCGCGGCCGCGGGCGGAGCCGCCGCGGGCCCCGCAGCGCCAGGAGGCGGGGGCAAGGCGGTGGCGAAGCCCGGGATGGGCGGCAAGGGCGGCATGGGCGGCCCAATGGGCGGCATGGGCAAGCCGCCTGCCGCCCCGCCGCCCGCTGCAGGACGCGGCAGAGGTGCCGGCGCTGGAGCAGGAGCGCCAGCGGCCATGGTGGGCCCTGTGGTGCCGGGCCTGATCCCGGGGATCCCCGGGGTGGGAGCCCTCGTGGGGCCGCCCGCTCACGCTGGGGGTGGAGCCGGCCTCGCCGTGGCGGGGCACGCGGCCCACGCGGTGCCAGCCGCCGCCGCGCCTGTGCCCGTGGGCTTGCAGGCGGTCGTGCCCGTGGCGGGCGGGGCGCTGCCGCAGTTCGGAGCGGCGTTCGCCCAGCCGGCGGTGGCGGGGCTCGCGGCGGTGGCGCAGCAGGTTGGGCCGTGGGTGTACGTGCCCATGGCGCCCCAGGCGGTGACCCACGGCCTCCTGGGGCTGAGTGCCGGTTGCCGCGTCGAGCTGGTGATGTACGACGCTGCTTGCCAGCCGAGCGGGACGGCAACGATGACAGTGACAGGGCTCTACCCGCCTGACGCGGCGGGGGAGTTCGTGGAGTGCGCGGTGGAGAGCAGCAGCGACCCTCTTTACCTGCCGATCCTGCAGGGCATCTTCGCGATGGGAAGCAGCGTAGTGCACCTCTGCACCCAGGGCGTGGCGGCATGCTGCCGCACGACCTCTTGGCCAGGGCGCAACGTGGTGCACTCGGACACGCTGCGCGTGCTGGGGGCGGCCATGCCTGGAGGCGGAGCCGCTGATGGCGCTGGAGCTGCCCCACCTGGCGCCCTCCCTGCAGGAGCTGCGCCGCCCGCTGCTGCCGCAGGCCCAGTGGTGCCGGGCAAGAACGCAGGTGGAGCCCCTAAGGGCTCAGGCGGTGCCGACGGCGACGACGTCGATGGCAAGACGGCCGAGGAAATGAGAAAGACTGTGAAGAGGCTGAAGGAGAAGCTTCAGAAAAAGCGCTCGATGGGCGAGGCGCTGGCCGAGCGTGCGGAGGCTGCGCTGGAGGGCCGCCGCAGCCGCAAGAAGCAGAAGAACAAAGATAAGGATAGTTCTGACAGTGCAAGTTTTGACGAGGCCCCGACCGCTGGTTCCGGCCGCCGAGTGCAGAAGCTGGCCCGCTCCGACCCCGGGGCGCTCATGGCAGCGGGTTTGAAGCAGATCCGTGAATACTTGGCGCAGCGGGGCGGGGCCGACAACGACGAGGAGCTGGATAAGATGGCGTCCAACGTGGTGCAGTACATCACGAGCGTGTGGCATGGCATGCACCCCCAGAGCGAGATGGGCGTGCGGAACGTGCGCGAGATGAGGATGGTCGGGGAGTGCCTGGACGCCCTCACGAGGGGCGACCTGCCACAGCTGGGCGACATGCTGATGCAGAGGCTGAAGGCCATCGAGCAGGCCACCAAGGACGGGCACTGGAAGGTGGCCGAGCACCTCGAGCTGGTCGACACCACCGACATCGGGCTGGCCAGCAGCGCCGAGGTGTCGGCGGCCGTGGCGACCTACTCGGAGGGCGCGAAGCTGAAGGAGCGCCTCACTCGGGCTGGCGCGAGGAGGCCCCCCCAGGGACTCGGCGAGGGAGAGGGTGGGCGCACCAGGACGCCCTCTCCCGCACTGCCGCCCTCACAGATATCGAGTCCTGGAGCACAGGGGGAGAAGGATGCGCCGACGCCCGGGTCGAGGAAGGACCGTTGGAGGGCGAAACTCTGGCGTGGACGCGGCCGAGGGCGAGGTCGCGGTCGCGGGGACGCT